ACACTTATGCAAAATAAAAAAGAGTTTCTGTGTGATTCATGGTAGTATATCATAATCTGAGACCTATGCTTAAGACAATTATCTGCATCTGAGGTTCATGAAAAAACAAAAAAAAGAAAAGAGGGAAGAAAAAAGACAGGAAGGAAAAACAAGAAAGAAGGAAAGAAAGATTGGAGAGGTTATGGTAACGTGGGAGTTCACAGAAGAGCAGTGTGAGGGAGTGATAATTACATGTAGGTGAATTTCTAGGTGTTCCAAAATTGGAAGGCAATTTTCCCAATAGTTTCATGAAACCACCAAAATGAAGCAGAGTTAGCCTCTGATTTCACAGGTCAGTTTGGCTACTGTTTTCCCTTCTGGTCCCTGAGCTGGTCATTGAGAAATTCCCATTGTTCAAGTACACCAACAGCCAATATCGGGAGGATGAAGATGTGAGGTTTTCCAAGGCTGAGCATTCTGTGGGCTGATAAATTATCCAAATCTTCATTTACAAAGCCAGGGAAAACAGAGAGATGGGTAGTAGAGCAAGCACTAAGGCTGCCATGCTCTGACAAAAAAAAGAAAGAAGAGGAAGAAGCTGGTTCACCAGTCAGAAGACTATTTACCCAAAAGCGCTGACTTGGGTTAAGAATTTAGTAAGTCTCATTTGAGTTGTGCAAAGGAGAACAAAAGACTCCATAATGATTATGCAATAGTTAATTCTGAAGTGGCTAGAATGAACATCATTAATTTACTGACTAACACACATGTATCATGGAAGTGAGTTACTTTGTATTTAACCAGTTGCTGGCAATATCCATGTAAAACAGAAGGAGAATAAAAGAATAACTGGGAAATGATACAGATGCAAGTTCACATTTTTGCTTTAGTATTGTAGGGGCACAGTCTTGGGAGCTCACTGAACTTTGCAAAGCCTCCCTTTCCTTGTTGGTTGCCTAGCAGAGTTACTTAGGATACCATAGGTACGTTGCATAAAGTGTCTCCAATGCCTGTTACAGAGATGTCCAACAGATGTTAACATTATTCACTGAATATGGAATAGGTCTGTGAAAGGGAAATGAAAACAGAACCCCAGTTTACTATGGCAAAAGGAAAAAAAACATAAACTGAAAGCTGAGTCATGCAAGAAACTGCCTTTCCTTTTGTCTCTAAGCAGATAGCTCCGGAGAAACAGTTAAATATTTCCACAGGTAGCTACTCTATGTTCACCTTATCTTATGTGAAGTGCCGATTTACTGGGCACAAGACAAATACATAATTGACTATTCCCCTGCCTGCTCCTTTTCCCTTGCAGCACGTGGATGACCCTACCCTTCCTCTTTCCCCTGAAGCCTGCGTTTCTCCTTTAAATACTGAAGCCCTCAAAATTTTCTTTGGAGAAAGGCACAGACTATTTCTTTGATTCCATGTTTTTTTCCTCTGGGCATAACCTTAATCTTGGCAAAAAAACCTTCTAAATTGATGGAGATTTGTCTCACATACTTTTCAGTTCACAGGTCTTTTCCCCTTTTATTTTGTAGTTGGTTACTCGGATAAAGTGAAATTTTTCTATATTTCTGGCCAGTAAATATGTGTGTATATGTATGGAGAGAGAGATAAAGAGAATTAATACTGCTCTACATATTTCATTTACAGATATAACTCTCATTTTTAATTTTATTAAAACAATTTAAAAGAGTCCCTTTGGACCTGCAGGTTAGTCATTTTTGCCCATTGCTCAAACATAGACGATTCTGGGAAACGTGACAACATATCCCACAGAGCCTGGGGGGAAACACGTGAAATCAAGTGGTGTGGCGAGAGGGCTTTCTTTTGACCAGGTAATTGGACAGCCTTCACATCAATGGTTATGACATTAAAAAAGAAATTTCACTGAGAACCTTTGAAATTGTTGAAGGAAAAAATAGTCAATGGAACAAAGTCTTGAACTCAGAGAACTCTCAGCAGTCCAAAAGAACAGTCCTGCTGTTTTCTGGGAACACACACAAAATTAGAATAAGGGGCCGCGTGCCAGTTCATTCAGAATCAGGTTTTGCACTAAGGGAGAGCCAAAGTGGAGCTTCACCTAGCTCAAGGACCAAATTAATCACCACCAAGCTCATATTTCAAACACACTGATAGGGAAACCAGTAATTTTCAGTGAATGACTTTCTGCATATACTTACATCCTAAACTGAAAGAAATCTAATAATAGCAAGGAGACTTCTCTACTTGCGGGGTTCTCATGGGATAATTACACCCCGGGAGGATTAAAGGTATCATCTTTGTTTCTTGCTGTGTAAGACCATGGAACTGATTGTCTTTCAATTACCACCCATAGCTGCTTCTCTGGCTCAAACACTTGAGAATGGGTAAGAGAGAATATATTTGCCAATAAAATCATGCCTATGTTTTATCTGGCTCCTTATCATATGCCTGTGTTTTCTTTTCTTTTCTTTTCTTTTCTTTTGAAATGAAGTCTGGCTCTGTCACCCAGGCCGCAGTGCAGTGGAGTGATCTTCTCACTGCAATCTCCATCTCCAGGACTCAGGTCATCCTCCTACCTTAGCCTCCTGAGTAGCTGGGACCACAGACGCATGCCACCACACCTGGCTAATTTTTTTTTGTATTTTTTGTAGAGATGGGATCTCATTCTGTTGCCCAGGCTGGTCTTGAACTCCTAAGCGCAAGCAATCTGCCCACCTCGGCCTCTCAATGTATTGGAATTACAGACATGGGCCACTGTGCCCAACCCTGCCTTGTGTTTCTTAAGGATAGGATAATAATCACAGAAATCAGGGAATCCATTCATAAACTTTAAACTGAATCTCATTTCAGCACAGTAAATTGTAGTAAAATTTATATATGTGTATATGTGCATATATATACATATGTATGCAAATTTACATCGACACCTAGAGAAATACATATGTGTGTATGTGTGTGTGTGTACATAAAACCGTATTTTCGTAAGAAATCTTCATAGATTAACACAATAAACACTTCCGTAGCTCACTTTCAGGAAAAAGTTTGTCTTTAAATGAGTTTGTATGTGTATACAGGGAAAACTAATGATGACTTCTCTTTTTGCCTTCGTTTCCAGTTGTAACAGTTCCTTTTGTGCAGGAGCCTGGTAGAACCTACTCCTTTATCTCTTTTATATAATCTCTTTTCTGTTCTTTAACCTTAGTTGTCCCATTTTACATAATGTTTAATTTTAAAAGATGCCTGGAATATTTCTTGGTATCTAGATGTTTTTAAATCCATCAAACTCTCTCTTCTCTGAACGAGACAAGTCAAATTCCCTTAAATATTCCCTTGCCAAATCCAGAATTTTGCCACAATGTTTAGAGCCTTTTTCTCCTTACGGTAGAGTTGTTTCTCTGCAAACAGCTCTGTTTCCCTAACCTTTGTCATCCTGTCCTGGCTTAAGTAGCAACTTCATCATGCCTAGATTACAGTCTCTACCCTGCCACCCTCTTCCATCAACTTTCCCCTTCATTTAATCTCCAAAGTGATGCCAACTCGACCTTCTTTGTAGACAACTCAAGGTCTCTTTGGTAGTTCGCTGTAGTGACTAAAAGCTAAGGTTATGCTGATTCAGTCCCAAACTTTAATGAGAAGTGGATGAATAAAGCCCAAGGGTGATGTGGTGAGTTTCCCAGGCCCTTAAGCCTAACCTGGTTTTCTTCTTTGGGATGATTAGAAATTTTCCTTTTGAAACCAAATAGAGATTATTGAGTTTTTACCCCCAAGGACTGTTTCCTTGTCCAACAAGTCTAAATCACAGGGAAAAGGTTCAAGGAGTTACTACATTTGTTACTGGACTAGGTGACAACTATGAACACTTTTAGTCTGTTTGAGAGGAAAAAAGGATTACAAATCCCCTAAGGCCCAGTGAAGAAGAAGCCTGTTTAGCTAGAAAACCAAAAAGCATTTTCTTTTGTTTGTTTGTTTTATTTTGGTACATGTTGTTTGCTGGGTGCTCCTGATGGGAAGTTTAACTGGGATTGCTGCCAGTTCACTTCTGCACTCCTGCCAGCTTAGGGTGACAATGATCAAGCCATTATTGGTTGGTAAATTAATTTCTTAGGGCTGCTGTAACAAAGTACAAAAAACTGGGTGGCTTAAAACAACCTAAATTTATTCTCTCAGAGTTCTGAAGTCGAGAAGTGTGCAGCCAAGGTGTTGGCAGGGCTGTGGTCTCCCAAAGATTCTAGAGGAGAACCCCTCTTCACTTCTTTCTAGCTTTTAGCAGTTCTTGGCCCTCCCTGGCATTCCTTGGTTTGTAGATGCATCACTCCAATCTCTGCCTTCACCTGACACATGGCCATTTTCCCTTCTGTGTCTTTATGGACATTTTTCTCTCTTATAAGGACACTCAGTCATATTAGATTAATGGCTCATTCTACTCCAGTGTGATCTCGTCTTAACTAATTATATCTGAAACAATCATATTTCCAAATATAAGGTCACGTTTTGAAATCCTGGTCTTTGCCGGCCAGGCTCAGCGGATCACATCTGTAATCCCAGCACTTTTGGAGGCCGAGATGGGAGAGTTGCTTGAAGCCAGGAGTTTGAGTCCAACCTGGGCAACGTAACAGGACTCCGTCTCTATAAAAAAATATAAATTTCAATATTAAAAAAACAAAACAGAAAAAAATCACGTATTTTTCTTGGGGGATATGATTCAACACACAACATTTGGGATCAAGTTAGCTTAACGCTTCAGGTATGAGGGATATCATTATGGCATGATAGATAAGAGGGAAATAATTTCATACTTAAGGTGGGGGGTGCATCATTGGGTTGGGATCAGAAGGTGTTGGAGCCAGCCCACGTCCTCACTCCTCTGCTGCTCAGAAGGGAGAATTACCTCTTGCTGTTTTTCTGAGCCCTGTCTGCCAACTGGCACACACTGCATCCAGTGTCCTGACAAAGGTTCTGTCCGTGTTTGTTGAGTGAGCAATCAGAGCTACATTTGCACCGTAGAAATACTTGCAGATCTGCCAGGAACATGAACGACAGGCATTTTCCACAAAAGTTTCTCTCCATCAGTCAAGCCAGGGACTGTTTTCTAAAGGCACGACAAAAGCAGTGAATTCCCTCGTTATAAATCTCCTTGCAGGGAGCCAGCTTTGCAGTTGAGTGCCAACTTCCTCTGCCCAAGTTTCCTCTGTCCACACCGCATGGGTTTGGCCTGGAAGTCTCATGGAGTGTATTGCCTGAGGTGGACTTCAAGGGAGGATTTAACATCACCGTGTTTCTGTCTGGGGACCATTCCACAGGTCAGCCCTGGGACATTGGTGGGGCTGGGGAGGAAATGGAGAGGAACTGCCCTTGACTTCCTCATAGGCGGGCAAGGCCTGGAGTATTGGCAGCCAGGAGCAGTTGGACTTCCGCCTAGTCCCCAGCTGCCACTGCTCCACTCCCTGGTGGCAGCTGCCCGGGTACTCCTTTGACGCAAGAAGGACACTGAGAGGGCCAACAACAAGGACATCAGTGGGACTAGCCCAGGGTAGAACTGTGGAGAGGCAAAGTGTGTCAGGGTGCCTTGCCACACACACTTCCTTCTAGAACCCTCTGCCCGTCTCAGCAAAAGCTTGCTTTTACTCAGCTCTCACAGTTTGTGCTAGGATGTAGACAAAATTGAAGTCAGTCTGAGCCTTTTTTCTCTCTCATTATCATTTGTCTCAAAAGAAAAATCCAACAAAAAAGTCCTGAAAAATGATTTTCCCCAAAATCTTTAAAAAGGTGACAGAATGGGTGGCAGGAAAACATTTTGTGATAAAACAGCAAAATAGCTAAAAACTGATTTTTAAGAATTGTCTCCTAGCTGATTCCTTGGAATCCTTTAAAGTCATCTCCTGGTTTCAAAGGGCAATTCTCAGAACTAACTTAGATTGTAGACCTCCCCTGAGACTGGAAGCATGTATAGTGATTCACTGCATAATGACATTTTGGTCAACAATGGACTGTACATATGATGGCATGATAAAAGATTATAAGACAATATTTTTACAGTATGTTTTCTACCTTAAGATGTATTTAGATACACAAATACTTACCACTGGGTTATGACTGCCTACAGTGTTCAGTACAGTAACATGTTGTATAGGTTTGTGGCTTAGGAGCAATAGGTTAGACCATGTAGCCTAGGTGTGTAGTAGGCTACACTGTATAGGTTTGTGTGGGTGCACACAGTGATGAAATTGGCTAACATAGCATTTCTCAGAATGTATCCATATTGTTAAGTGATACATGAGTTTATGTAGTAAAATTAAATAAAAATACCACCCAGTGGAAAAAACATAAATAAATAAAAAATAAATAAAGTGATCTTCTGGATTCTGTCTTTCAGGATTCCACTTCTGGGCCCTTTACCTTTTTCTCATGGGAACAAAGGCAGCAGAGCAGGGTAAAGGAAAGGGTGCATTCAACCAGCCCATCATCAGGGCAGGGAAGACATAGGATTCACAGGGAGAGTCTGGGAGGGTCATCTCTGGCTAGGGATGACATGTTCGGAACAATGAGTCTGTGCGTATAAATGTGTGTTTGTGTCTTGGAGAAGTAGTCTAGCTTTAACTCTAGTGCTAGCTACCACATAATGAGCCAGTTCAGCAGCTACCACTAGATTTCCTTTTATGGACTTGACACTTCACACATTGTTCTTTTAATATTAGACATTTTGAATTGAAGCAAGAAAAAAAAAAACTTGACTGATGTCTGACTCAGAGTAAAAGAATGAAAAGCTAAAAACAAGACATGACTTCAGCTGAAATAAATTTGAATCCCCACCATGCTCTTTATTTTCAGTAATCACATCTAAAAACAGGTCAAAAGATCCTAATTGTTCAACAAACTGTGTAATACCAATGACTGCAATTGCTGTCAAAAGACAGGAGTTCCTGAGGATAAAGATAAACACAGTTGAATTCAGTGTTCCAGGAAAATAAAAGTGCTCATCTGGTTGGGAGGAGTAAGACATTAACAATTACATTCCAGAAAATTCTATGATGGTGCAGATCTGTTTTCCTGCCTTGAGTTCTGCCAGGAAAAATGTGCCGGTGACCTGCCATGCTTTTATGTCAGGCCGGTGCCCGGTCCCTACCTGCATGCACTTGGATCGCAGGCCAGATGCTCACCAATGAGCTGCTTGCCATGAAAGACCTCAACTCTGAGCCTGAGAGGCAAGGCTGGTTTACCACATTTACCCTTGATGTTTCCTGGATCAAAGCTCCAGACTCTCTTTTGACTTCATTAATAATGAAGAGGGATGAGAGGCTATACTGCTGTGAAGTTTGATGATGCTGATGAGTTTTATTTTTGTACTTTAGGATTTTTCGTTCCTCCATCATTCAGGAAAGCTATCAGATAACACCGGAAGATGTCAATGTAAACTTACTCCTTGTCTCCTGATACTAGATATGAACAGCTTGAAGTACTCTCCAAGGGATCAGCTGGGAATGAGGGAGGGAGGGTGGGGTGGGGAGCCAAGTTTCCACCCGCCCATCCATCCATAACCGTGGTGGGTGGCTGAGTCAGCACAAAGGAGAGGAAGGCAGTGGTGTGCCTAGGGGTAGGGGAGAAATGCTAAGAGCAGGGCTTCAAGCTTCCATTTGGGCTCTAGCTTAGTAACTCCCCAGGTCAAGGATCTATGATATGAAAAGCCCCAAATCTCGTCTTGGAAGTAATTACAGACTCCCTAACAGGACCAGTTCAACTCTATATTTTGGGGTTCAAAGCTTTGTGGTTTATAGTCCAAATAGCCTCTAAAAATCAGTGTGGAAAATAGCAGGTTAGGAAGCCAATGAAAATCGGGTGATGAAAGAGTCTGACATTTGAAAAATGCTCTGATAAGATTGGTAGAACTATCCCAGGGATCAAAACAGGTTATTTTTAACACCCAGAGCCTTGTCAGCATACACAGGGCACTCACCTTAGTCTGGGGAGTTTTAACACTTGCTTTTTGAAGAAGGTCAGCATGTCTCGAGTGTGTGTAAGTGATGTCTATTTCAGCATTATTATGCCAGCTTTTGTTACAGTGGCTTACATTCAGTGTGGCCAGAACCACAAATGTTTCTTATTGACGTCTGGCTTAGCTAGCGTATGAAGGCACTCAAAAGCAGAAATCACTCTTCTGATATAGCTTTTATTTTCCCGTCCAGGACCAGGTACTTCTCTGTCATCACACCCTGATTATAGAATCTGAACACCAGAGCACTATCCTTCATTTCAATCCAGTGACTAGAAATTTCAATCAGCCACCTAGGCTCCTGCCGGTGGCATACTGTGTCTAAGCATCTCTCAGTGAGAACCCTACTGGCATTGGGAGTGATGGGTGGGATTGGGCAATTCATTGTATAGGGTTGTCCCTTGCAATGAAGAATGACTAGCATGTCTGTCCCCATTATAGGACTGAACTGAGGCTTGCTTGCCCCAGTGCTGTAGAACCAGGTCTCCGCATTTGTAGTGATAGAAAGGAAGGCATTTGATTGCAGGGCGCCAAGCAAGGAGGACCGGGAAGTCAATGCTCAAATCCTGACCTCCCCAATGGCTTTCAGGTAAGGCTTTTTAAAGGCAGAGATAAATTTCAAGAAAGTAGAAGTTACAGGCAAAATTGTAAATCAATACATGGAGGTTGCGCATTGGTTTTGACCTAAAATGGCAAGATACCTTGAAGCAGGGGCTTATAAGTCATAGGTAGATTCAAAGATTTTCTGATGTGCAGTTGGTTAAAGAAGAGAAGCTTTGTTTAAAAATTTGGTGTCAGCAGAATAACAAGTTAACCAGTTCAGGGATGTGATTCCCTCCAGCCCCTCAGCAATAAATTTAGAACCAAGAATGATGGTCAGAGCTTTAGTTCTCTGTTACCTGAGGTCTATATGCCAGCCGATCTGTTTGGTGGGGGTCTGGGTTTCTGAAAAACAACTCAGGGACATATGTTAAGGTGTTACCTTTAGTTTCCACAGGGGAACCAAGCATCTCCTGACTCTAACTTCCTTGGTTATTGTTTTAAGCTACTATTGCCTTCTTGCTTATTGAGTTGCTTATTTGCTTCTCAAAGATTGCTAGGTGCCAGGAATTTCCCTTGAAGAAATCCAAGATTTTTCTTTATTTCCATACTTGGGGGCCCTCAGGCCCCTAAAAGTATATCTCTGTCATGTCTCTTCCTCCTACCTCATATACATTTCCAAATGCCCCCCTGGAAAAAAGAAATTTGGTTAAGAAACTCTATATTAAACAGAAGTCAGTAATAAAAACTCAAGCGTCTTGCATAGGTGACTATGAAGAGTTGAAGAGTTAGGATACCACATGGCTAGTCTGCATGAGACATCTCCTAAGGAAGCATTATTATGTACCCAGGAGTTTTGCACGCCACAGTTTCTGACAAATTCCCTCATTTGTGGTTTCAGAGAAAGAAAAGACTCAAGCAGAGAAGTAGAGAGAATACACAGACCACACACTGGTGAATGTCCTTGGTTTCCAATGCTTTGCCTGTCTCTGGCTCTGCAAGAGTCTCATGAGACTTGTGCTCTCTGTTCTTGGATTCCATGGGATTGCCTCCAGCCTTAAATAAATCTCTTTCCCTCTTTGTTTTTTAGATTAAGCTTATTTAAGTTGTTTCAGTTCTTTTCAACCACAAAAAAAAAAAAAAAAAAAAAAAAAACAACTTGACTCAGAACTTATACTTGATAATTAACAGTGCACGATACTTGTAAAACAAGCCATAAACACATCAAGGTCATTGAGGAAATGTCATACATATGGGAACCAGGTTTATCTGGAAGTCTTGGTTTACACCCTTTGCCCCCTTTCACATCCAACATCTCAGTTTGACAACAAATTATGTGGTCACTATAGCCAGAGGAGCCAAGGCAAACAATGAAATCTTTTTGAAGAAAGTTGAGTTTAACAGAAAGTAACACTTCTGCAAAATGGAAGAGGAAATGCTTTGCCCAAGTGAGTTTTCTTTAGCTATGTCCCTCATTCAACAGAAGCACCTAAGCATGATTTATAAGGAAATATAGCTGCCCCCCCCACCAACCAAACAAATTGTTCATAAATAAAAAAGAGAGAGTAAAATATTACTCTTCCCTGCAAACTCATGTGTTGAAATCTGTTATTGTTACACATGCAAGTAACTGATTCTGGTTTGACAGAATGGAAAATGTTTTAGGTTTTATAGTCTATTAAGAGAAATGTCTAATCACAGTGCTTGTATGATCCCATCTAATTGGATTCCCTTCCTGTTGCAAAAGCAAAGAAGGAAAAGGAATCTCCCCTT